GGGCAGACTAGCCAGGCCTTTGGCCCCGCCCTACACAGTTTCTGCCCAGCCCCACAGCCCTGACCCATCACCCCAGCCTGGCCCATGATTTACCTCTCCAGAGGGTACTAGTAGAGAAAGAATGGCAGAGCCACTCAGAGCCAACACCTTCCCACTGACTCACCCACTTCTATGGGCATTTCAGCCCCGGCATCGAGGTTTCCTGACAATGCACCAAGGCTGGACGTGGGAGGGACCTAGAAAGGCCTTCTCGAGGCTGGACCAGAGCCCCGTGAGGCCGTGGCTTCCAAGCTGGGTGGCCCTAGTCTGAAAGATGGATTTCTCAGAGTGGGAGCTGAGGATTGTGGGAGACTCATTGGATGGTCTCAGTCTCCGTAAGGCCCAGGCTGGTGGGAATAGGGAGGGAAGGCCCTGCCAAGGGTTCAGGGCCTCATCTGACTCTTTTCTTTATCCCTTTCTCATATATCCTTCATGAGGCAGTCATCAGGTCAGGGGGTGCTGTGTGCCCCTTGTCTTGCCTGACTGACTGCAGAGCAGAGAAAGCGACCATTGTGTGCTCCAGCTAGAGGGGCACAGATCCCACAACAGTTGATGCTGGAAGAAGTCGGCATGGGCCAGCCCTGGACACCAGGCAGAGGCCAGCCCTGGACGCCAGGCAGGGGCCAGCCCTGGACGCCAGGCAGGGGCCAGCACTGGATGCCAGGCAGGGGCTTAATGAGAAGGCACGAGATCTCCTTCAGGGGCAGCTGCTGATTTTGGAATGCATCGTGGCATCCAAGGGCCTGTCTTCCCTTCCCTTCTCTAGGCAGAAGGGCACACCTACACCCTCTCTCAGCTACTCTTTATGTAACCTTCAAGATGATCACAGCCAAGGATTTGGATGAGTTGGTTGAATGAGACATTGTGGGGGTCACTGGGCACCAAAGTTCCTCCTCCTCCCTGTGACTCAGGGAGACACCCGGGCCAGCTGTGCAACTGGGCCATCCCAGCATCTCAAACATGCCCTGCCCCCACCTCGCTCCCCAGACACCCATTTGCCCCACAAACATCTGTGGGTGTCTGCTGTGTAATATGCCATCTCAGGTGCTGGGGCTACATCAATGAACAAACCAGAGTGGTGGGTGAACCCCACTCTCAAGGAGTTTAAATTTCCCCTGAGTCAGAAAATATCAGAAAAATTAGAAAAACAAATCAGAAAAATCCAGAATGTGTCCAAGGAAGACATAGACGGGCTAGCGAGAGTTAGGCGTCCAGGGGGAGGGGGCAGAGCGTGAGTATGGGGGCGCGCTGTGCTGTGAAGGGGACAAAATTTGGGAGGAGTGGAAACTGGGGGTCTCAGGGGACAGAGGAGCAGATCAGGTGTGGAGCCCCGGGTGTGGAAGGAGCCTGCTATGTCTAGGCATCAAGGGACCCAATGGATGCAGCAAAGTGGGGAAGGAGGTCAAAGGTGGGGGGACCTGTGGGAAGCATCTGGCTGCTGGATGCCAAGGGTGGGGTGGGGGGGTTCCCACTCCTGCCTGCTAGCTGGGTCAGAGATGTGGGCACATCCGGGGATGCTGCAGGGGCATTGCAACAAGCCTGGTGGGAGGCAATTGTGTCTCCGCTGGGAAAGAAGGGCTCTGGGGCTTGGCAGAGGACTTGAGCTCTAGGTAAGGGATTCATCCATGAGACCTGGAGCTGAGTCTGATGTGTAAGGAAAGGAGTAGAGCTGCCAAGGAGTTTTTCCTGAGTGGGGACAATGAGAGAGGCTGAGGGAAGAACCTAGAGGCAGGGACACCCAGGAAAAAGAAGACGCTTGCACATGCTATAGGACGAAGGGTCTGTTAGATTGCGAAGGGCATGCTGTGGCAGCAACTGAGCATTCCAGTCACTCAGACACTAGGGCTGACAGGTGCAAATTTACAGTAGTCAGCATAAAGCACAATATTCAAAGCATGGAGGTTGTCTGGGCTTCTGAGGGAAGGAGGCAGAAAGAGAAGACTCAGAGACCCAGCGCAGGACGGAGTGGGGCCTGCTAAACAAAAACCAGAAGCAGGAGGCGTGGAGGCTGCTTCTGGGGGACTGAACAATGAGTCAGATTCTGCTGAGCTGGGCCCCCTCAAGGGCTGAGGCTGCTGTTGCTGCTGGCTTTGGCCCCCTGGAGGTTGCTGAGGAACTGGATGGCAGCGTTCTCCAGAGTGCTCAGTTGGCTAGAGATGAGCTCAGTGGTAGACTTCACACTTAGCACGCACAAAGCCCTGGCTTCAGTCCAAGAGAGAGTGGGAGCAGAAGGATAGAGGAAGGGAGGGGGTGGGTAGGGAGAGTGACGGGCAGCCGGGAGGCGTGTTGTAGGAGGAGCATAGATTCTTAAAGAGCTTTTGCTATAAGTGAGGAACAGAGAATGATCAAGGGCTGTATGGTGATAGGGGTCAAGAGTATTCTGGGGCTTTTATTTTTCTTTAGATGGGAGAAATTACAGCGTGTTTCCATGCTGACACAACAGTCTAGTAGAGAAATCAGCACATGAATGATACGAAGATGAAGATGATAATGAGGGGAGGGAAAAGGACATCTCTCCCCAGGTGACCACAGAGGCACTGGACACCAGTTTCAGGATATAAGCCCTGGGCCTGGACCTGTCTTTTCCTGGCCACGAGACTCTGCCAGTCCCACAACTTAACCCTCAGGGCCTCCAACGAGCAAGGCAGCTCTTAGAAGACCAGCCTTGTTTCCTCCCCTGGATTGTGGTACAGACACAATGAGGCAATAGGTGTGAAAGTGTTCTACAGGACACCATGGGTGGGACAGGTGGCTGGGATCATTTTTATCATTCTAACAACACAAGAGATTATTAAGCAGATTAAAGGCTTAGTACCTTCCACCCAGCCCTATCTGTACGCACAGCCTTCTCGTACATCTTCCACAATGCTGCCACCTGATCCTCAGGAAGCAACATGCATGCCCTGGCCTTCTACAGATGCCCGCTCTTCTCCAGCTGCATCAGCTTCCTCGCCCTGGTTTGATTCCTCGCCTGACCCTAGCCATGGCTGCTCTCCGAGGCCTCCTGATGCTACTGCCTGGGTTTGTGGCCCCGATTTTGCCTTCTTGCCGTCCTCCCATTCCTTTTCCAGAGCTGACCTGGAAGGAGGAATGCTCCTCCAGATGCTGGAGTGGGCATCACTGGTTACCCTGGGTAACCATCATCTGGTTAAAGACATCCCACTTTATTTAGGAGTTAGGGTTTCCAAGAAGTGGGATTTCCAGTGGAAACACTGGGAATGGCACTAACCAGGCGCAGCACCCCTGAGTCTTGATCTCAGAGCTGCTCTTTACTGTAGAGGTTAACCCAGAACATCTGTGTAGAAGTTACTTGGCTTCACTTTGCAGTGCTTTCAACCTCAAAGTCTCTAAAGAATGAAAGATAACTTTAAAGTTCTGATCCTCCTGCTTTGGTCTTCCAAATGCTAGGATTACAAATGTGTATCACCATGATGGGTGGATGAAAGAGGAATTTTTTTTTTTGAGACAGGGATTCACTATGTAACAGCCCTAGCTGGTCTAGAACTAGCTCTGTAGACCAAGGTGGCTTTGAACTCACAGAGATCCACCTGCCTCTGCCTCCTGAGTGCTGGGATTAAAAGTGAGCACCAACACCCCCTGGCAGAAGAAGCAATTTAAGGTTGTCTATCTCCCTGGGATGTATTGGAATTCTTGTCATCCATGAGTCTTGAATTGTTGACTAAACTGGGAACTCTGGTTACTTAGCAGGGCTGAGAGGGAGGAAATCTGGCTTCCCATGAAGATGTTATGGATGCCAGCTGTCTCTTGGGTGATCCTGGGGCACGTGCTCAGGTGCTCGGGGCCTACCTGACCAAAGGGTATGTTGGGCTGGCTGTCTTGAGTGGATAGGTTTTGGTCATGTTATCTGGGCACCTGCTTCTAGGCACTTCCCACCTGGCCGCTGCTTTTCATGGGCCTCTCAAGCCAGATGTCGGAGTTCTCAGCCCTGTCCTACCATTTTCTAGGATGCCGGGATGGCCTTGGGACGTTACCTGACACCACCGAGCTTCCTCTTTGTTGTGATCGCAGAAGAGTGAAACCTGTCTGCTAGGTGTGGTGTGAGAATTAAGAACAAAAGAGAGGCGGCTGGCCGAAAGTGAGTGCTCACTTTGAGCTGAGCCCTGGGTGTGCCCATAATACCAGTGCTCAGCAGGCTGAGAGATGGGAGGACTGCAAGTTCAAGGCCAATTTATTTTGTCTGTTTGTTTTTTGGTTTTTCAAAACAGGATTTCTGTGTGTAATGGCCTTGATCTGTCCTGGAACTCATTTTGTAGACCAGGCTAGCCTAGACCTCACAGAGATCTCCCTACCTCTGTCTCCCCAGTGCTGGGATTAAAGGCATGCATCACTACCACTTAGTGAGGTCAATTTGTTTTAAAAAGGCAAATAGGTATATAAATGCACAAATAAATAAATTAGCTATTACTGTGAAGTGACTTTGGTGAGAACAGCAAAGAACAATTTCCCTCTAATGAAGTCTTTCGCTAGGTATGTGAATCTTCCCAGACTGCCCTAGGACTATACTAACTTAGTCTATATAGTAGGCTATCCCCGACACACAGTAGGCTATCCCCCACATACAGTGGGCTATTCCCGACACACAGTAGGCTATCCCCGACACACAGTAGGCTATTCCCCACATATAGTAGGCTATTCCCGACACATAGTAGACTATCCCCGACACATAGTAGGCTATCCCCAACACACAGTAGGCTATCCCCCACATACAGTAGGCTATTCCCGACACACAGTAGGCTATCCCCAAGCTCTGCTCCTCCTCTTAGTCCTGCTCTGGTCAGCAGCTTCGACCCTGCTGCTCTCACTCTACTCAGAAAGCAGGTCTTGGACAACAAACCCACCCTCAGATTCTGAAGAAAGGTTCCGAGAGAGACTGTGAGGAAAACACAGAGTGGAAGATTTATAGAGCTGAGAAGGTGCTCCAGAAGCTGGGCCAAACTCACCAATGTAAACACGCCTGCTCCTAACACGGCATAGACGGCATGGAGCCAGGGGACCTGTGGGCACAGGAAGGACGGGTTTAGCGTGTGGAAAGGGCAACTGGCAGAAGGGCCAGAGGTTGGGGGGAAGGCTCAGTCCCGAGGATGGGACAATGGGGTAACTCCCCCCAAGGATCCAGAGGGGCTTGTGATTCTCTGGGTGTTCACAGTGTAAAACAGAGACCCCTGAGTAATCACAGGGAGACCTGCAGGGAGTCCCCACAGACCTGACATTTTTTCCCTTCACAACAATGCCCCAGGCTCAGGCTGGCCAAAAGTGACTCATCCTATCTGACTGTGGTCCTCTCAGCCTGGGTCCCCCTACTGTTCCCATGCATCCTTGCTCTATCTGGAGTATGCCTGTTCCTCTCATGCAGAGTTCTCTGTCTCTGCCCTGGGAGCAAGGGCTCAGGTGGAAAGTCAGCTGAACTCGGCGGGGGGCGGGGACAGGTGTGGAGCCACCTGGAGTCTCTGCCAGATGGGCATGAAGGGCCTGGCGGTCTGGAATAGTACCCTCCCAAGCTTGTGCTCCCCTTGACTGTGCAGGCCAACTCCACAGCTATGAGGTGCCGTGTTAGCCCTGCCCTCTGTGGAGCCCATCCAGAAAACTTTCCGGAAGATCTCTGAAAACAAAGGCCTCCCATCAGCTCGGTGTGGGTCAATAAAGGGTTCTTTGAAGTTCTGGGCCCCCTTCCTGTAGCCCCATCCCCATCCTAGATACATAGAGGCCTCCAGGCCAGCTCCGGTCCCTCCCTTCGTCAACAGGATCCTGAGAAGAGCCAAAGAAATGCCAAAATCAATCTTGACATCCTAGACTGGGTGCCAACAACCCGGAGGCTAGGGCTGGATGAGGAAAACCATCTCAGCTTAGCACACAAGAGGCGACGGGAGGTCGGGTACCAAATGTGGCTGGAGAAGCTGCCACTGAGACCCCCCCAATAGACCCAATGCTTTCTTTCCTGTGTTCTCGGGACTCAAACCACCTGCCATGTCCCCAGTCTGTCCCCCAACATCGATGGCTTCACTTCCTGCACAGAACACACAGGCCAGAGGCCAGCAAAGGGGGGTGGTCTGTGAGCTGGGGGTGGAGAGTCTGTCCCTACTTCACTGCCCTCCACCTGGTCAGCCAGTTTCTGCCTCTTTGGGCTTGCTGGTCCCCCAGGAGATCTCCTGAGCCTGGTGACCTCTGGAGCCCCAGTGTATCTTTTTCAACTATGGTCCTTCTCCTCCTCCCCTCTACCTGCAGGGGAGGATAGGGAAAGTGAAGCCGGATGCAGCCCGTGGAGCTGGGCAGGTGCCCAGGCCTGCCAAGAAAAGCCTCCTTGTTTGCTTGTGTATGCTGCCAACACACCTCGGGCAGGTGCCAGGAGGGCTGGGCAGGGTGGCAGGCTGTGGGGCTTTGGCCCTGGGTCTTCCCTGAAGGGCTAGAAGAGCATGGCACCCTGGGCATCGGGCCATCCCCACCCTCTCCTTGGGCCCGTAGGCTGGAGACTTACGTATTGGAAGGGCAGGAGGATGGCTAGGAGGAGTCCACTGAAGAAAAGGGTCATGAGCAGCACAAACAACACACCCTGGCAGGAGGTGAAGTCAAACTGCAAGACACAGGGGGGCGTCAGCACTGACCCGCCAATTCTGCACTCACCCCCACAACCCAGTACATCCCTCTTCCAGGAGGCATTCCCAGACCCCGTCCAACCCTCTGCTTCTCCTCAGCCCCACGTGGATCCCTGACCCCCCCCCCCCCCGCCCACAAGCCCCAGGGCTGACCTTGGTCTGGAAGCTGAAGATGGTGACTGAGAGGCAGACGAGGGCCGTGATTCCCAGACACAGCAGCACAGAAGTAGTGTTGTAGTAACTGAGAGCAGGCACGGGGTCAGTGGGATTCCCGACTCCCCACCCCTCCTCGGGACCGCCCTTTTCTGCCAGAAGCTGACCTCATGACCTGTGGTCCCAGCCTGCCCCATTCCCAGGACCTCCCACTCTCAACTTTCCCAGGCTTCTCTGTTCATGGGCACCCATCAATGGGCTGAAGGGTCTAGAATATGTCAGTGTCTGAGGGCAGTTTACAGGTAATGACAGTACCAGGATCTTGGGGTTTTAAGGTCACAGTGTGGGTATCACCATCTTACCCTCCGCCATCCCCCCAACTCTACCCACTTGCTCGGGTCTTAGAGTCACTGGCTGTGTAGTGCCTAAGGCACTCTAGGCCAAAGTGGCCTGTCTGCTCGAGTTCCTACCCCATCCAATAGTTCCCTAGAAAGATGGTATTGGAGGTGTTCCTTCAGGTATGGCTGGACTCTAACTGCATGCCTGCCTAGGATGCCCTTGCCCCTTTTACCTGGACAACATCCCAGTGAGATAGGCCATGGACAGGGTCTGAAAGAGAGCAGGGTGAAGGAGTGCTCCTGCAGGGTGAAGGAGTGCTCCTGCGTGGTGAAGGAGTGCTCCTATAGGGTGAAGGAGTGCTCCTACATGGTGAAGGAGTGCTCCTACAGGGTGAAGGAGTGCTCCTGCGTGGTGAAGGAGTGCTCCTACAGGGTGAAGGAGTGCTCCTGCATGGTGAAGGAGTGCTCCTACAGGGTGAAGGAGTGCTCCTGCGTGGTGAAGGAGTGCTCCTACAGGGTGAAGGAGTGCTCCTGCGTGGTGAAGGAGTGCTCCTGCGTGGTGAAGGAGTGCTCCTGCAGGGTGAAGGAGTGCTCCTGCGTGGTAAAGGAGTGCTCCTGCAGGGTGAAGGAGTGCTCCTGCATGTGGACATGGGGTCTGGGCACTCTCAGGCTCCTAGCCAGCTCGAAGGCACTCCAGCTAGCTGTCCCTTTATCTCTTAGGCAGCCTTGTTCTCCCCATGAGAATCCCAACTCTTCATTATCCTAATTCTGGTTGGAAGTCCCACCCAATCTTCCCAGAACAAGAGGCTGGGCACATAAGAGGGAGGGCTTCATCCCATTTGGAAAGGAAGGATGGAGTGTTCTGGTAGGATAGGGGTTTGGCACCTCTGTTCCACCAAGAACCTCATATTGATATCCCCGATCAAGATTCTCTGGCCTTAACCTTCCTCTGTCCCCACTCAGCATCTGTCCCCAGCTCACCCCAGTCACTTACAAAGATGGCCAGCAGAATCAGGTTCCAAGGGAAATGTCTCCTGCAAGACAAACCATGGGCCTCAGAGGACATTCGAGCCTGCGGGGCTCTGGGCACACAGTGGAACCTCTCCCTTCATTTAAACCCTCGTAGGACCCCATTGTTACATCCACTTCAGAGACATGAAGTCAAGGGCAGAGGGCCCATATGACTGCAGTTCATAGAGGAATGAGGCCCTCTCAGGGGCCGCACAGGCCCATGGTGGAAGGCAGAGCTCAGAGCAGATTTTTAAGGCCCTAAATAACAGTCCCTCAGTCATAATCATACCTGGGTCCAGAGCAGCAAGCCAGAGTAAGGTAGGTTGCAAAGAACACGGCACTATGAGAGAGAGAGAGAGAGAGAGAGAGAGAGAGAGAGAGAGAGAGAGAGAGGTGAACAAATCTGTCAGGTCTCTCCTGGGGCCTCTGCCTAGTCCCAGATGACCCTACTCTGCCACCCCTCCCCAAACTGCACCAGGCAGGAGGGCAAGAGCAGAGGGGAGGGCATGGACTCCTCGGACTGGGCAATGGGCAGGATGGTAGCCCAGTTCCCAAAGGAGACATGGGACGAGCAGCCCACTTCCAGCACATTTAATCTTGGGAGCCAAGTGGCCTCAGAGACCTTTGCTGCTGTTTATGTGTTTTCCGAGGCAGAGTCTCACTATGTAGTCCAGGCTAGCCTTGAACTCTTAGCGATCCTCCTATTTTATCCTTTAGCATTCTGACACTGCGGACTTGCATCACCCCACCTGGTTAAGAAACCTTGGAAAGTTCATCCCCAGTCAGGCAGTGGTGGTGCACACCTTTAATCCCAGCACTTGGGAGGCAGAGGCAGGTGGATCTCTATGAGTTCGTGGCCAGCCTGATCTACAAGAGCTAGTTCCAGGACAGGCTCCAAAGCTACAGAGAAACTCTCTGTTTTGTCTTGAAAAACAAAACAAACAACAAAAAAGAAAGTTCATCCTCTAGGGCCTGAATAGATCACTCAGTCACACACAGGGACGGGGGCGGTGGGGTGTAACTCAGTGGGAAGAGTGAGTGGCCAGCAAGCGTAAGAACCTGTCTTAAGTCCTTAGAACCCAGGAGAAAATGCTGGGCATAGTGGCATGCTTTTGGAATCCCAGCACTTGGAGGGGCAAAGAGAGGAGGCTTTTTGGGGTACAGCTTGATAGCCAGCCAGTCTAGCCTCACTGGGAAGCTCCAAGCCAATGAGACACTCTGTTTCAAAGGAGTTGGACGGCTTTCCTGAGGACGACACCCAAAACTGGCTTCCTGCCTTCATAGGCACATGGACACATGCACACCATACCAATCCATGGACACACATGTGCGCACCCATACGCATTACAAAAAAAAAGTTCATGCCAGGCATAGTTGCGTGGTGATGCAATCCCAGCTCTCAGGAGGTACAGGCGAGAGGATCAGGGACTCAGCCTCATCCTGATCTAATTATGGAGTCTGAGGCCATCCCACTCCATATGAGGTCCTACCTCCAAAATAGTAGGTAAATATAAACCAAACTAAATGGATATAGGATATATTTTGTGGGCCGGGCAGATTTTTATTTGTTATGTATTTATAGTTTCTGAGACAAGATCACACTGTGTCCCTCTGGAGCCTGGAACCTACACAGAGGCCAGGGGACCAGGGTTTGATGTTTGTTTGTCTTGACAGTGTTTAGTAACTATTAACATGATCCTTCCTTCTTTATGAACCATGTTCTCCTTTACAGAGGAGGCCGGCGACTTGTCCAAGGTCACAAAGCTGTCCGGTTGGTGCAGGACTGAGACCTCGGTACTCCAGCGACCTTCCAACCACTGCCACACACTGCCTCTCTCATCGCCTGCCACCTGCAGCCATCCTGGTAGCTGCTTCTTATTGCTCTACCCTACCAGGCGGTGGGCTCAGCATGGCCTGGCCTGCCAGCACCTGGCAGAGCAGGAAGTGGAATCAGTTTCTGGATTAGGTAGTCATGTCCAGTGGGAAGTAGCTAGAGGGGATTGGCTGCTCAGAGTTTTCTGGAAAGCAAGGGGCAAAGACCAGACATGGAAGGCAGAGACTAAGTTCCCAAGACAGTTTGCCTATCAGTGTATGGCCTCCACCCTCAGCAGGCCTTCAGCGTGGCCCTGCAGCCCTTTCTTTCCCCATCCCTTCAGCATCTCACCCGCCCTCCATAACAGCAATTTCAAACAGCCTCCTCCTTCCCCAGACCTCCCAGGCTGCCTCACTCTCTGCTATGTTCCAGAAAGATCTGAGATAATGAGGTGCGGCTCCAGTGGCTTCTGGCCCATCACCTGAAAACCTCACGTGGTGCTACCAGACTTCCTGTCCCTCATCCCCACGACCTGGGTTTTGGGTCCCGGGCCCTCAAAAGCCCAGTGACGGCTTACTTTAGCACTCCTGGGGGGGTCACCTCTTCTCCCACACCAACCTCCTTGGTCTCTGCTCGCCTTCCTCAGCATCTCCCCTGTTTCCAGCTCCAGCTCCTCTGCACCCTCTGTGTCCTCCTCTCAGCGTGTCTTTTCCATCTTCTCAGCTTGCCCAACCACCTGGCCTCGGCCCCACGTAATGGGAGCTGGCTGGATCACATCAGGGTGACCTTGTTGAGTTCAGCTGTCACTCGCTGGTCCTTACATTACCTGACTTCTCAATGTCTGGTCACTCCTATTGCTTACCTGCTTCCACAATGACACCCTTTTGGGTTCCCTCCTTCCTTCCTGGCCACTCCTCCTCATTACAGAGCCTCTAAAGGAGCTGGTTTCTTCAAGGCAGACTCCTCTCTTGTCCTGCTCTCCCCAGGTAGGCGCGCTCACCCCAAGAACGAGCCCATACCTTAGGATGGGTTCTCACTGCCCCTTCTCAGCACTAGACTGGGCAGCCAAGTAGATGTTCCAGTCTGCAGTGGCTCTTCAGAAACGCATCAAGTTCATTGGACTAGGGCTGCACTCTGCATTCTCTCTGCCCCTGAGCCCCCGCTGCCCAGGACACCATGCAACCGTCAAGCCGCCCAGCCAGAGGCTTCGGCATCATCGTCAGCGCTCACCCTGCCACACCCGATTAATTACCTGGATCTGCGTAGCCTCCCACTCAGACCTCACTCTTCCCTCCATCTCTCCCGCCTCCCTTTGAAGTTGGGTCACCTCTTTCTCTTCTCTCCCTGGCTGGGGCTGTGCCTTCCTGCCTTCAGCCCAACCTTCTACCAAGACACTACAGGGTGATCCGGTCACACGTTTTCCCAGGAGACTTGACAATGCCCGCAGAACAGTCTGCCCACTGCAGGCTCCTCTCCTCGCATCACAGCCTGTTCTGCACCCTCAAAACATGCCCACTCTCCACTGGCAGGACGGAGACTCCCTCTTCTGCCTGGCTTCCTCCTTCACAGCTGACTGTGCCTGCACCCCTGCTTCAGCCAGCTCAGCTCACAAGGCCCCTGCTCCCCTGTAGCACCTGCAGGCCAGCTTGCAACTTACTTCTTTTTCCTGCCATTTAACCTAGAGCCTGACACCCAATAGATCTTAAAATATATTTCTGGGTGCCATGGAAAAGCAAAATGGAAGCAATAACCAAACAGGCAGTGCAGGAATGAAAGCCTACGACCTGGAGATTCCTCTGCAATTGGGTGCCAGGTGCCAGAGCTGGCCCACCCTGTACACTTGGGACAGGAGAAGCCTCCTATCCCTGGTGAAAAGTGCCCTGCTCTTTATGGTCCCACTTAAGTCACTGCTCAGTCACTTCAACAACTATGACAAAAACAGAACATTTGGCTATGTGTCTCCTGTCACTCTGTCCAGACTGGAAGCTTCCCGAGGGCAAGAGCTGCATGTCCTTTTCTCAGTGCACGCTAGATCCTCAGCCCTGAAGATGGGCATCAGAGGGAAGGACGGAGAGACTCAGGATTCCGAGACCATGGTGCAGCTTTGGAGCTGAAGTCTGGTCTGGTACTGGAAGTCCTGTCCCATCCCTGTTACGAGTCTGTGGCCACAGATAAGGATTTAATAGCCAGTTCCAATCCCCTGCTGTGCAGAACAGGAAGACTGCTCCCCAGCTCTGGGAGACCTGGTGGGAGAGTGCCGATGACGCACTTAGCACGGGCTTGGCACCGGGCTGGACTCGTAGATGGGAGCTGCTTACTGTCATAGAAGCTGGTTGACTGACAGTTTGACTGACAGCTTCCTCGAGCCACCCCCTCCTCAGGCCTAGCCTTACACTTCTCCTCCTCTGCCTGCTCTTCTCTCACCCTCTGCTCTGCCACGGACACCATGCTCATGGGAGCAATCAGACAATAAGGAAAGAACCCAGTGGGGAGAGACGACAGGGACCTTGAGAAAGCCGGTGCCACTGGTGCAGGAGAGGGCGAGGTTGTGTGAGCAAGAACAGTTGGGTTTCATGTTGAAGCCTCAGCCCCAGGGCCTGGGACACTGGTTTAGTGTCAGGATTGGCCATCCCAGCTGACTTATCCTCACTCGCCCCTGGGGCTAGGGTCAGCAGACTGCAGTGGGCAAGCATGTGGCCGTTAAGCAGTTCTAGGTTTCTACCTGGCTCTGATGCCCAAGAAGCAGCTCCTCTCTGCCTCAATTTCCTCATCTGTGAAATGGAGATTGTAACAGCACCTGCTTGGCAGGGTTATTAAAAGGAGGGTTGAAAACTATACGTCAAACGCTTGGCATGGTGCCTCGTGCATAGAAAAGAGCTGTTTTATTCTCACTGTTACGAATGTTGTTCCAGCAGGAAGAAATAAACAAGGGAGCCCTCAGGGAGCATTTGATACGCTGGGCTGGCTTGAGACCCGATAGGACGCAAGAGAGTGAGTGGAGGGTGTGGAGGGCAGGCTAGATCCTCAGGGAGGCCTATGCAGGAAGAGGAGGCATACTGGTGGGGGGGGGGAGCCCAGCAGCATTAGGGCTTTGCTGCTTCCCAGGAGAGCGCAGTCCATGCCCCTTCCCACCTCTCCCCTGCTCCCACCTCAGGGTACCACTGCTCTCCACTTGGGACACCATTTCAAGACCAGACACTCACCCTCCCTCCCCACTTCCTCCTCAGTGTGGTGCCATGTACTCCAAGCTGTTCCTGCCACTACACACAGAGTCCCAAAGACTCATAGAAGAGGGGTCCAGCACACAACTCCCAAGGTCTCGGGGGCCCCAAGCCTTCCAGACAGTGCTGACGTGCTGGGAGCCATGCCAACCTGCTGTGTGGGCTGGCCAAGGTGGCAGGCCCTGGGGCCTCATTAGCTGTGTGCACTGTGCCTCCCAAGGCCTCAGACTCAGCACTCCCTCCTGGGACACCGACTGCCCCTCTGTCCTGTGCCTGAGGAAAGGCTCCGTGTATAAATGTCTTCACTTCCAGAATCCTGAGAAGGTTCCTCACTGATAGTCCACTGCCCGCTGTGCCAACTCTAAGCCCAACTTTAAGACCCACTCTAGGCTCTGGTGGTTCCTAAGGCTTTGCCGAGCTCAGCTCTGCACTTGGTCCCTATGGAAGAACAGGCTGGGCCGGTCAGTGTGCAACTCCTCTGCCATGCTCTCTCTTGACGCTTAGCCCACAAGGGCCGCACTGCTCTGAGATGGCCTTCTGTCTGTCTGCCAGTCTAGTCCCTAATGTGCGGACACACCTCAGTGTTCTCCTTGCCATGTTTTCTGCTCCAGCCACTCCTCTCTTGCAGCCATGGTGCACGGTGGTCTGCCCCCACCGCCTCTGCCAGCGCCTCTGCCAGCTCCTTGGCATTGCTCACTACCTTCCCCCACAGGCAGAGACCTCCTGCCCACGTGTCCCCGTGCAGGGCTGGCTCACACCGAAGGCCAACAGGGACCATGGAGAGAGCAATTCTCTGAGTCTACGGTGGTTCTGGTTCAGAAGTATCCAAAATTATTCCTTAGTTATCAGAAAGGAGGGTCCAAACCACCTAAATCCCCAGCCTCCTCCTTAAGGAACACAGTATAGGACCAGCAGAAGCCAAGTAGCTAGAGGGCGGAAGAGAGACTGATGAGCAGAAGGATTAAGAACGCAAGCCTTAACTTGAACCCAGCTCCACCGCTGACTAGCTGTGTGACCTTGGGCAAATTACCCAACCTCTCTGAGCCTTAAGGTTTTCTGAGGTAATCATACCCAGTAGATTTGAGAATCAAATGCAATACTGTACATCAAGCACACGAAACAATGCCCAGCCCTTAATTAGGTATTCTTTAAGTGGTGGCTCTTATGATTAATAATTTCATAAGCATTAATAACAATGTTACTAAGAGTACCAACATTGTCATTAGAGAAGGTCAAGGTGTTCCGGTCCCTTCCCTCATAGGGTCAAGTTACTGGCGCTCTCCATCCAGGCCCTAGTCCCACCCTAGACAACCTATGTTCTGTCAGATCTGAACAACTCGAAGGTGGCCCCTGAGGGGCTGGGGGTCTTTGAAGGCCTCCCCTGGGGTATGGATTCATCAATGGAGCCAGGCATGCCTAGGAAGACGTCTGGGGGCATACTCACTAGGATGCCCAGTACCAGCCTGGGTTGGCCTGGACGTAGTCCTTCACGACGTCACTGTAGAGAAAGGTGAGCAGAGTCAGAGACTGGCCCAGGTCTGTTTGTGTTCAGTATCTGTATCTGCCCCACATGGACTCAGAGAGAGGAAGGAGGACTGGCTGGGTGACTGTGGAATGCAGCCAAGTGACACCTCACAGGGCCCACCCGGCACTGGGGGACTTCTCGCATGGTGTACGCCAACGTTCCTCCCCAGGGTGAGTGTGTCCACTGGCCCTCATCTATCTGGGTGGACATCCCAAGAGAGGCTACATGGCGTCCCCCTGCCCTGAGTCTGCCCATGGTCCTCCTGGAAGATGTCAGCCCACAGTGCCAACTCACCAGAAGGTAAAGAGAGCCACAACAGCCAAGGTCACCAGCAGCTGAACCAACAGGATGGTATAGACCTGAGGGAGGGGATGATCATGTTGGGGGTCCCGAGAGACCCCAGTTCCCAGGGACTCATTTGAGTCTAGACCTACCTAATCAGACACTTTCACCCTCCTTCATAGGGGTCACTGGGCAGATTGAGACAAGTGGGGGGACAATAAAGGCACCGGACCCTCAGGTGCAGCCGACCAAAGAGCCCAGGGAACATGGAACAAGGGCTCTGGGTGAAACCTTGGAAGCACATGCCAGGAGGAGCCATGGGCTGGAGTGGCAATGAGAGAGGGAAAGGTCGCCCTGCAGACAGAGGCTGGGCCAAGGGCCTTCCAGGGGTCCAGCACAAGGTGCCAAACCCTTCACCCCGTCCCCCCCCCTCCCAGAGCATGGGAGAGGTGGTTACCTTTCTGATGAAGAGCCGGCGAACTTTCTGGTCATCCCAGCTGAAGGTGGTGAAGAGCTCATGGTTTCCTGTGGGGAAAGCTTCGTAGCTGGAACTGCTGCCTGGGTAGCGGGGTGGAGGGTGTGAGTTCCCTGCCCGACCAGCTCAGGCTTCTGACACCTTTCTCTCCAGCTCCACTGGCCCCCACCCTGCCTACCCCACAGCTGTCTTCCTGATCACTTCTTGCTCTCCCTGCTGTGACCCCATCCTCTCCCTCACCGTGGTTGGGGCTCTGGGGAGCTAAGATCAGCCATACAAATGTCCCTTTCCCTCTAGTGTCCCTGTTCCCCTTCCTGGACACTTCAGCTCCTGTGAATCAACAGGGGACACCCAGTCCTCCTGGCCAGTGTCTGACAATCCCGACTCTGGCTGTTCTAGGACCCACAGGCTGGGATCAAAGGCCTGGTGGAGGAGCTAGGCTTGCTGGCGCTCAACTGCACACCAGAGTCAATGGGGGCTGACTTGTGGGGAAGGAGGCAAAGGAAATGGGCAGGGGTGCAGGCCTAGTGCCAAAACTCTGGCTTTTGCAGGAATAAAGACCCCACAGCCAATCAGAGCCACAGGCTCTGTGGGACAATGTGCATCACCCAAGCCATCATCGGCCTGCTCTGAGTCTCCTGGTGTGGACAACAGGCCCACTTCACAGGGACCAAATTAAATAAAATGGAAAGCTGTGTGTTCTGTGCCTGGTGGGGACCACATTGCCTTCGCCTTGTCTGCTGTCCCAATTAGGTCTGGCTATCTTTCCCTTTCCCCAGCAACAGCTTCTGCCTTGGTCTCTCAAAGATGGCCACGCCACTGCCCTGTTGGAGCTCTTCAATGGCTCCTCTTCTGCACATTGCTCAGGTTCAAGGCCTTTTTTGTTTTTTTGTTTTGTTTTTGTTTTGTTTTGAGACGTGGTCTGAAGCAGACCAGGCTGGTCTTGAACTCACTATGTGGCCGAGGATGACTTTGAACTTCTAATTCTCCCATTCCCATCTCCTGAGCGCCAGGTACATACACCACCATGCCAGGCAAGCTTAAGTTCCTTTAACAATGCCGGGGTGAGTGGAGTCCTCCAGCCACGCCTCACCGGCCACGACGTTCTCCCTTCCACTCTCTTAGATGAATCTGTTCAGTTACCTGCCTTCATGCCTTGGACCCTGCCCGCTCAGAGCTTTCTGAGTACCATTCATTGTTCTGCCTCCTCACATGCTAACCCAGGACCCTCTTCACAGCTCTGTGTGGCTATAGGAACTCTTCCCTGGCTGGCAGGCAGACCTAAGTCACCAACATCTTCGCCGATAGTGACAGTTCTGGGATCCCAGCAGTAGCACATTGGCTGTCAGTATGAGCAGACTGCAAGGACTTCGTCATGGGCTGTGAGGAGGCCTCCCTTCCACCATCGCTCCTTAGAGGATATTCCTTAGTAAAGTGTCCACCCCAGCAACCAGGGCAGGGGAAATGAGAGGTAGGAAATCCCCGCTACACCTTCATTGACCTTCCAGTAGGTCACGTTGGAGTGGGGCGGCTGGGCTCTGGACCAAGGGGTATTCTTGGAAGAGGCACCGACCATGGTGGCCACTTGCTTCTTACGAGCGGGGGCTCTGTGGGCAGAGGCTGTGCCAGGGCATTGTTCTCAGAGCCCTTCTAGAACTTTGCAAGCAGTGGGGGAGGGGCAGCGGGGGAGCTGCCACAAACCCTGAAAGGTATGAAAATTTAAATTTAAAAAAAATGTTATTTATTATTACACACAAGGGCATGTGTGACTGTATGCATCCATGCATGCATGCGTTTATAATTTGGGTGTACAATGCTATGAAGCATACGTGGAGGTCAGAGGTCAACTTCCAGGCATTAGTTCTCTCCTTCCATCATCTGCCGTGGGATCCTGGGATGGAACTTAGGTAGTGGGTTTTTTGGTGGCATGGTGCATTTCCCTGGTGAGCCATCTCACTAGCATGGGGCTGAGGACTTAGGGGTCCCTCCTCATAGCCCATGGCAAAGCCCTTGCAAGCTGCTTAGCCAGACAGCCAAGACGCTACTGCTGGGATCCCAGAACTTATTGGCGAAGATGTTGGTGACTTACGTCTGGCCAGCCATGTAGGCTAACTCCCACACACCTACCCCACGTTGTGCCTGCCCCCTGGAAAACCTGGAGAAAGGGCGGGAAGATAACAACATTGGTTGGGAGGGGAGTCCCTACCCCTTAACCTCTGAGAACTCCAGGCCTTATAGAGGCCTGGCCCTGTTGCGTTTTCAGGTCAGTCACAATATGAACACTGTACCCCACTGGGGCACTGGCACCGCCCTCTCCTCTCTCCCAATCCCGGGTCCATGTCCCTTCCTCTATGAGGGTCTTTTTAGACAGGAACTTGGCTTTTGCCCCTTATCCATCTGCTCCAATTGGCTTAGCTCAGTGGTTTGTGGAGCTGAGAGCACCCCAACTGGACACTCCTTCTCTTCTCTCTTAGCGTTCTCTTTGACCAACCCTCAGAAGAACGCTCCAAAGCCTCCTACAACAGTGTGCTGCACAACCACACCGTAAAAGTGGGGTCTGGGTGACTTCCTCCCACCCAGCACCCAGAACTCCCTCCACCCCTCCAGCCTCTGGTGGCTGAGAGACTTACTGGGGTCCACATAGGCCCAGCTTGGATGGAGGGGCACAGCTGTAGGGGCTTGGGGGAAGGTCCCTGACTTCAGCCCATCTCCAGAGGTGGCCTCCTCATAGGAGGGCGGCGCCGAGGGCACTGCTGGAACCTCCTTCTTCTCGCCATTTGTCTTCTGCTGCCCCTCAGTCCCGGGGGCCTTGTTAGCCACAGAGAGCTGTAGAATAGACACAGAGAGAGATCTTACAGGTGGTACTGTCCCTAGGGATGGTCCCTGGATTCCTGGAATCTGCCTTGGTGTTCTTCCAAACTGGGCTAAGGAGTGGAACAGACGAGACCCACCCTTGAGTTCAGAGCCACAGAACTGAGCTCAGGAGGTGTGGGGAAAAATAAGACAGGAAATGGAAAATTCACGAGAGTGTCATGGAGGTCATAGGGCCACCTGGGGAAAGGACTGGGCCTCTATTGTCCTACAGTTGCCCCATGCTCCAGAACATCCTGACCCATACATAGGAGACCTATTACTGAACAAAAGGGCCTCCCATTTTATTGTCTTCCTAATTTTCTCACTGTATTCAACCAGTTATATTTTACATCATCATTGTTTTGATCTTGTTTGCTTGTTTTTGAGACAGGGTCTCCTTATGTATCCCTGGCTGTCCTAGAACTCACTCTGTAGACCAGGCTGGCCTCAAACTCACAGAGATCCACCTGGCTCCACCTCCCAAGTGCTGGGATTAAAGCTGGACGCCATCATGCCCAGCTCTTTGGCCAATTTCAAAATAAGGAAACCCAGACTCAGACAGACAGAGAGACATGCAAAGTCCCAGGTGTCAGAGTGGCACCTAGGGCTGCGGGGCTCAGGCTTCATCCCGGGCACAGGTGCTTCCTACTGGGCTAGAAATACTGGAGGGTGGGAAGCGGGGAACCTGGGGGAAAAGGGAGAGCAGGCCCCACAGAAACAGCCGTCCCCAACCAAAACAGAAGAGCAGTGTCGTCCTCGCTGGAGGGCTGAAGAAGACATCTGCTTTAGACGCTTCCTTCCTACGAGACAAGGGACTGAGATCCAGGGAGACCTGAGCTTGCTCCCTGCCCACAGTGGACATGATAGCTTGGTGAGGTGATGGCAGCTGTGAGGGTCAGGGAGGGAAACACTGGGACAGAGGGGGTGAAGACAGAAACCAACGAAAGGCTTGGCTTCAGGAAGCACCAGTCTGTCTGGCTGCAGAGGCCCCCGCTTATGGATTGCTGAGGTAGATTGGTGGCCCTTACAGGGAGACAACCGAGGTGGCCCTGACTTCAGTCCCTATACAGCCCACTGGGCTTCACCCCAACTCCTAAAATATCCTGTGGTGGTGCTAGGAGCAAGGGGCTGAGGAACGGAGGCACCTGTGCCACCAGAAGAGAAAGCAGAGCCGTGGGGTGGGATGAAAGAGGAAGCTCCACTTTCCCTGTGCTCAGTTCAGGGTCTCCTGCCTCAGGAAATGGAACCTGGAGCCCAGGCTCGCTACTCCCTTCAGTACATAGACTGAAGGGGGTACATCTAAGGAAACTGCCTTAGCCGCTACCCTTCCACTTAGACCCCAGAATCTGGGGCCACACAACCTCTCAAATAAGGCATTCCCAAGTGACATCTGGCCAATGGCAGGAAGTGGTATCACTCAATGACATCATTTTGAGGCCTTTGAGAAGCCTGAACACAGGAGGGTCTGTGGGTCCGGGGAGATATGCCATTAGTTCTAAGGCTGGTACCAGAGGAAAAAAGTGGGGTGTAGTGAGGGCCTCCTCCTGTTTTCCCTGACCAATCCTTAGCACTTCTGAACAGAGGGCTAGAGGGATCTCCCCCTTCACCCTAGGCCCTGGTGGTTGTATAATTCCACAGGCTGTTGATGTTACATAAGCCTCCTGCACTACTCAAGGCTCTGCCCAGTCCTTCCCATGTAATTCAGTCCTAAATTTGGTGTATATGTGTGTGTATTGTGCATTGTGTGTGTGTGTGTGTGTGTGTTTGTGTGCGTGTGTATGCATGTGTGTGAATGTGGGTGGGCAGGGAAGGATACATTTTTATTCTATCTAGTCCCCATGTCTGGCCAAAACAAAAACAAAAATTAGAGCATCCTGCTGTAGGGTTGCCATAGTAACGCCCAACCAAAGGGGATGTATACTGATATCCAGAGTGGAATAATCAAGGGAGCTGGGAGGTGGTGTTGGAGGGGGTGAAAGATGACCCTAAAGCACTGAAGGTAAACACACAGGCACCACCCCTCAAGACTCACCCTGTCCCCCAAGCAGAACTAATTCTCTCTCTCTCTCTCTCTCTCTCTCTCTCTCCCTTTCCCTCCCCCTTTCCCTTCTTCCTTCCTTCCCTCCCTCCCTCCCCCACTCTGACTCCTAACAGGGCCTAGGCCACCTGTGAAGGGGTTGTGATGCCACACCAAGGGGTGGGAGACCGACAAGGAGAACCTGGGCACTGGGAAAAGTCCTAGGCCCATTCTTTGAAATGGGCTGTTTGGTCCTCTGGCAAAGAGCACAAGGACCTTTGCACTGGAGCCCGCAGAGGATGCTTAAAGTGGTCCAGAAAGCTTTCTCAGAAGGGCAGGGAGGCAGGGGTCCAGAGAGCAGAGGATGGTGCGGGCGGCAGGGACATGCCCCTACCTTTCCCTGGGTCATGATGTCGTCTCTCAAGGAAGGGGTCCTTGAAGTAGGGGTGGCCGCTTGGGTCACCGCAGCCTGCTTGCGTCTCTTCCTTCCTCCGCGTGGATTCTAGCAACATCCACTGCAGCCCAGCCAGGCTTACCGGAGCGTACCATCCGCACACAGGGGGAGGGTGAGGGCCTTGGAGGATGCTGCTTATGGATGCAGGAGACTGCGGACTTGAGATCCCAGGCGAGACATGCGGGTTTTACCTCCTTTGCTTCCTCCCACATGCTTCAGCCACCCAGGGGACCGGGGATCATTGCAGTGTGGAGCAGCAGGTGGATGGATGGGCCCGCGGGGGTGGGAAGAGGCACCAGGACTCCTGACACCCGACCAGCTGATGCTGTCTACCAATACACAGAGCTAGAAAAGTGCCTCTCTCTGAGCAAACAGTCACCAGCCTCAGCCTTGCTCCCCCTCCCTGTCTGGATGGCCTGGATTTGTCCCCGGCTCCAACACTCCCTCATCGTCTATTTCGTCGTTGCCCAGAGAGTGAGAAAGTTTACGTGACTGGTCTACTCTGCCTCCTACCAGGGACCCTGGCCTTTGCCAGCCCTTGCCGGCTCCCCTTGCTCTGATTTTCCCGTCTGTAAAATGGAAGCAATAGCGCCTCCATCCCTTGTATAACAGGCCTGTCGGGGATGCAGTTTTGTCTCTTTCATCCTTGAGACAGGTATTTCTGGAGACTTAGTTCTGTATCAAAGCCTCCTCCTGCTACACTCTGTCAGTGCCTTCTCTCAGCCTCCATCCCTCTCATTCCGCCCTCTCCAGGATCCAAAGCCCATCGACCTCCTTCTTCAGATTTGTCTTTTGGGCTCAATCAACACCAATTCCTATTTTGTTGTTGTTGTTGTTGTTGCAGTTTTCCCAATGCCCCTGGTGAGATTCACAATCTCAAGTCTCAACTTAGTCACCTACTGACTGTGTGACCTTGGCAAAACCCTTACCCTCTCTGAGCTGAAGCCCCTCCCTGTGAAAAGGAGGCTAAGAGCAGGACCGGTCCTCCATTGTCTGAGGGGGAGCAAGGCTGAGGCTGGTGACTGTTTGCTCAGAGAGAGGCACTTTGCTATCTCCATTGGTGGTAAGAGCCTACTGAACACAGGATATTCTGCCAGTGTGGGGGGTGTGAGAAGCTGAGGAATCTCTGACTACACCGGCTCCTGTCTCCCAGAGTCCCAGGCCTGGCACTGAGAGCAGGATGCAGGAAGGATGAAATCTCATAGAAGATGGAAATAAATCTTAGAGAAGAGGCGTGGCCGACTGAGAGGAGGCGTGGCCGACTGAGAGGAGGCGTGGCCGACTGCTTTCTGCTCTCCCTCGTCTGATTCCCTGGCCCAGCAACCCCAGCCCTCCTCCACCAAGTGGTCCTGGCTCCTAGCACTGCTGCTCAAGCTGAGCCGGTGCCCTCCCTCTCTGCGTTGGCATTGCTCTCTCCTTGTTACACAGTTTCTGGGCACCCTAATACAGCTGCTGTCTCTATGCACTGTGGGATTCCTTGTCTGTCTGGCATTAATCGTACTGTAGCAGGTTTTTGTTTTTTTGAGTCGCAGGTGTGTGAAATGCGGTCCGTGGATTGTTGTTATCAATATTTCTCGGACAGCTTCATGCTGCGGAGCCTGGCTTCATGCGGGTCTTGCTATGTTCTTGCCTGTGCATCCTGCCTGCTCTTCATGCCCCATGCATGCTGCGTCAGCCATGCAGGCCGTGTTCTTCTTTGATCAGACCAAACGCATTGAGCTCAGGGCCTTTGCGCTTCCTGGGCCTGCCGACCAGGGCACAGTTAGGTCTGTTCCTTGCTGGTTTCACTGCTGCTGTGATATGGTCTTAGTGTGGAGGTCGCCCATCTTACAATCACAAGGCCCCACCAGGCACATTGGGCTGTCCCTTTATTTCTGACCCGCGTTACTTTTTCCAGCGGCAATGGGCATCTTTTTTTGTTTATTATTTCTCTCTCCCTCACCTCTATCTCCCACTAGAATATCAGTTACAGAGAGGAGTAATTTGGAGGTGTGTTATGTTGCTATGTACCTGAGGGTTAAAACACCGTTGGCACACTTATAGGACGTGAACATTTGGGAACTAAAGCAAGTGGTCCACAAATACTCAAGGGAGTGAGGATTCTTATGCAAAATCCTTATATTCCTCTGATGTCACACTGATTCACACTGGCGTTGTGTGCACCCTGGCATCTGATGGCCAAAGCATAGGCCAGACACAGATCCAGCATGCCTACTTCAAAGCTGCGTGACAAGCAAGGACTCCTCCCAGAGTGTCAGCTTCCTCACTGTTAAGAAAAGGGGAGCAGTGTTAGCATTGCTTTCAGAGCCCACAGGGAGACTGCATGATGCTTGGAAAGGTTTACGGGACTACCCAGCATGCAATTAGCCCTAGGTGGTAGCTAGTGGTATGGCCTTACAGCTCCCACCAGAGGGGTTTAGTGAAGACATTAGCTTCCACTCTTAGGCAGCTCAACCACGCAGTAATCCATCAGACACTCTTTCCTCATGCTTCTGTCCTTTTCAGTGTGAGATCCTCTGGGAGGGTCCCCAGCAGCCAGCCTTCCTGCAAGGAGCCTTCCATCCCATTCAGATCCCCAGTCCTCGCTGAGCAGGAAGCTGGTAATGCAAGACAAGCAAGACAGGGCAGCTAAGAGAAACTAGCCTGGGAAAAGCAGGGGCCAGCAAGGGATGATCTGGGGCCCCATCCTTGAATCCCCAACCTGGTAGATGGTTGTTCTAATACTTGTTGGAGGTGGGAGTGTAGGGGAATTGCAAGGTTTTTGAGTTGGGTAATGACATGTTCAAAGACAGGTTTCACAGAGATGAAACTGGGGTCGTGGTTTATGTTGTTAGAGCGCTGTCTTCAACAAAGAAGGGAGCAGGTTTGGTCAGAAGCAGTAAGTGGTAGGAGTGAGAAGGAGAAAGACAAAGGTGCAGGGCGGAGTGTAGATGGAGGCTCAGCCTCAGGACTAGAGCAGACTATAGCCCTAGGCAAGGTATATTTGTTGGTCTTCCTTTTCCTCATTTGTGCATGGAAGGCTGTGAGAACTAAGCAAGTTAGGGTTGATAAAGCCTTGATGGAGCCGTGTTTCTAACACATCCCTGTAAGGTTTGGGAACAGAAAAGCAAGTTTTCTAAGACTAGAAAGGGTCCAAACAGGGTTGTAGGGACTTGAATAGAGGCTAAGTATAAAGGGGGAGGGGACTTCAGAGGCATGGAGACCTGAAGGCAGAGGCTCTGGGCACTGGCCCACCGTTAGCTAGAGAAGGAGTTGTGCTCAGGGGATCCACAGACCAGCTGGATCCTCTCAGAGGTGGGAGAGTGGTCCTGGCAGGATCTCCTCCTGTGCAGCCTGGGAGATGGCATACATTGTATGTGCCACGGCTTCCTGCCCTGAAGCCCAGTCCCGGGACCTCAGACTAGGCTGGACCTAAGTAGGCTCTGGCTGAATAGCATGTGTATGGTAGCTGCATCTCAGAACACATGTGGACATCCTTGGAGACAGGGACAAGGGAAGAAAAAGGCGAGCAGGCAGAGGCATCAGCTGAGGCAGGACAGGGGAGGCAGAGGCAGGGGTTCCCCTCCCCCAAGCCCTCCAGCAGTCTAACTGGGTGAGACAGGACACTGGGCTCTTCCAGGGCAGGAGGTGTGAGCTTGGCCACTTCTCTCCTCCTTTTAGATTCGGCTCTGCTTTCTGCTCAGGTGGTCAGAGGCCAGTGCTAGAGAAGGGAGGAGATGGAGGTGTGGTCAGAAGCCACTTCTCTCTTTACAGACATGGAAGTACCAGGTCAAGAGGTTGAGTGACAAGACTCGCTGGTGGATCAGCCAGGATGAGGAGAGTGAGTTCTCAGCCCGGAGACCCTCAACCCAAGGGGCTGGCAGGGGTCCACACATATTCAGGAACATATAAAGAGAGGCAGGAAGGCTTCAGATTTTGTTGGGTGGTATAGCTACCCAGCACTACATCCTTGTCAGGTCTGCACACCGCTGGCTCCCTTCGCCATCCCCTGTGGGTGAAGAGAGAGCTTGTGCCCTTCCCTTTCTCTTCTTCTTCTCTTTGTCTTCCTTCTTTCCTTTGCTTTGTTCTTTGAGGCAGAAAGTTTTCTGTGTATTCCAACCCTACCCCTTCGGTTTTTGAGGCCAGAGATAGGAACCAGTGAACCCCACTGACTCCCAGTAACAGGCCACAGGACAGGGATGGTCCAGCAGCTCAGGTAGAATGCTGTGGGGACAGGCCCCCATATGTACAGCTACTCCCCACAAATGCCCAAGCTTGCTACTCCCCGCAGCTTCTGCTCAACATAGGGACCCTCCCCAGCATCCCTAAGGAAGAACAGACACTCCTGTGCCATCAGCCAGCCAGGGCTCCTCTTTAGAGAGTGTAGTTCAGCGGTAGAGCAATTGACTATACAGCCCCTCCTTGCGGTGTGTCCATTCCTATCTACCCACTCTTCGTCTTAAGATACATTGTACCTCCCCAGACACAGTCTGTAAAGCAAGGGATGCTGAAAGATCAGGCCTCAGCAAGCAGTGACACCCTCACTCCACTGCGGGGACTGCTTGCAAGAGGTAGGCCCACACTCCTGTCCCTGACACTCTTTCTGCCCCATGCCTAGGAGTTACTGGGATTTTGGCAGGGGGAGGTCAGCCAGGAGGTGGGGCTGGAGCAGGCCCTCTCTGAAGCAGGAGTGGGGTCTCCAGGCTCTGCCCACAACCTGGTGCCCCGTTCATGCTGCTTTACTAGCTCTTAGCCTGGATCAAGTCCACTGCAAAGTAGAATAATGGAACATCTGAGAGGTTTCCAGCAACCCGTGTCCTAGTCCAGACTTAGCCACTGGCGAAAGGCTTGACAGCCATCTCTTTCCTCTGGGTCTTGGCCCAAGCCCTGCCCAGTTCCTGGAATGGTTGAGTTCCTGTTCCATCATGCATGTTGCATTGTGTACCTTCTGCTTGTCTGCCAGATGGAATGTGCTGGAAAGGTACAGTCTCTGCTCTGTCCCTGGTACCTGATGGAGTTCAATAATGAAGAATATAGGTGTTGAAATCAGATCAATATGGGTGTGAATTCTTGTTCCTCACTTACCCAGTGAATGACCTTAAATGACCTCTCTGAGCTTGCTTCCTTTTCTGCAATGTAGATGATCATCAATTAACTTAGGCTAAGCTCAAACTCAAGGCAATCCTCCTGCCTTAGCCTCCCAAGTGTTGAGATTGAAGGTAGGTACCACCACACCCAGCTTCCAGAAACTATTAATGGAGACCTAATGCGTGTCAGGAACTGAGATATGCACAGGGGTCCAGCCTATAGGGCTCGCTTGGTAAGAAGCTGCATCTCTGTCACAGGTGCTGATTA